CCGCGCCTTCTGCGAGCAGCCCGACCTCGCGCTCCTCCTTGCCTTCCTCTCCGCCCTCCTCGCCCACTTCAGCGCCAGCGCGCGCTCGAGCACGCCGCCCTCGTCGCATTGGCGAGCCTCCTCGCGCTCACCGTAGTGCGGCTGCACTTCCTCCTGGCAGTGAGCGCGCACTACGCGGCCATGCGCCGCTCGGACGCGCCGACTCTGACCCCGCTACTGGAGCAGAGAGCGAGACTGAAAGATGGGCGATCCGCCTCCTCCCCCGGCGGGCCTGCGCACGCGCGACGTCGTGTACGCGCCGGTGCACTGCCCGGCGGCGGGGAGCGTGCTGGGGATGCGTGCGGAGGTGTGGGTGCGGGTGCCGGGGGTGGACGTGGGTGCAGGCGGTGCGGCGCCGACGTACGTCCCGGCGTATTTGCCTACGCAGCGGGAGGAGCGGCAGGAGCAAGTGTACGCGCCGATGTACACGCGGCGCTGGAGGTGTTGGCGGACGCGGGGCTGTTGGATGCGAGTGTGGTGGGGACGAAGAGGGAGTGGATTTAGGCAGCCGTTGGGGATGGGCAGACACTCGACACAGACACACCGTCACGGACCCACCCGTCACAGCCATCGACAGCGGCACCTCGCATTACTCGACCCACCCGACACCCGGCCGCGACACCTCGCGTATTGTGTAGACGCGCCTCCACCCATTCATCCACACACACAACTCGTATCACCCCACGTCCCGCATCGTATCGTGTACATACCCCTCCCTCCCCTCCCACCCTTCTCCCTCCCCTGTTCCCTACAACTCAATTGGCCACGCATCCGTACCTGTGTATGCGCCGGTCTACCCGCAGCCCGCAAGCCAACAGCAGCAGCGGGAGCGGGAGCAGCGGGGGTACGCCGGCACGGTACGTCGCGGCGCTGAAGTGGGAAGAGGCGGCGCTGGAGGCGTTGGCGGTCGCGGGGCTGTTGGACGCGGGGGTGGTGGGGACAAAGAGGGAGTGGCTTAGGTCTTGGGCATGGCGATACCCCGGTGTTTCTGGGTGGTAGGTGTGTTTCTACATAGCCGTCTTCGGTCTTTTGCTTACGCTATTGATCTTCGCGTCGTTGAGGCTTGTTCTCCCATGTACTCCCCAGAGGGGGGGGGGGCGGGGGCGCGGACACACGCAGATGGCCTCAGCGTGCTGCGCCCGCATCCCGCATCGTCCGGCGTTTGCATGTGGGTGTGGATCTAAGCGGGTGTGGGACTACTGGGCGCGCGGGGGCTGGTTCTTTTTATGCGGAAGGTAAGTTTCTCCATTCGCGCGTCGCCGTCCTGGTTCTTTTGCTTACGGTGTTGCTCTAGGTCAGTGTCGGACAGAGGGGAGAAAGACAAGGTGCGTAGCGTCGTCTTTTGTTTTTCGTTCCCGTGGAGGGGACCCCCGCAGCGGGTCACGCGCACGGATCGCGTATACCCACGCAGATGGTGCGGGGGTGCTGCGCGTCCTGCGTTCAATCGCGTGTAGGTGTGGGTGGGGGCAGGGAGGTGCGTACTGCGTGCTGTGCGCCGCCCAGCACGGTGCCCCCGCTTGCGCGTCGGGCCCGGGTGTCCCGATTCGCGTCGAGGCGTGCGCCATCTCGTTCCGTAGCCCAAACGTGCGTACGTATGCTGTACGTACGGCGGGTCCCGCGCCCGGATTGCACACATACGCAGCTGGGGTCAACGTGCCCGTGCGGTGCGTTCTGCATCCGCGCGTAGTTATGGGTGATCGGGAGGTGCGCGCTGCGCGCTGCCCGCGTACATGCCCCTTCCCCCCGTTCGCACGTGTCGGGCGCACAGCGCGGACGCAGCTGCTTCGAGTCGCGCGTCGCGCGTCGTGGCAGACATACAAGTATGTACGCTGTACCTATGTACGTATCTTCTGAATACATCTACTTACGTTGTGACGTTACCTGTGCGCGCGAAGAAAGACTTGGATGATGTTGTGTGCCCGATTCCTAACTACCGCGAATGCTTGAAAGTCGAGCGAGAGGATGAAAGGAATAGAATGGCGGAGTACCTTGTCGATTCTGTGGATACTGGGATGTGCGGAGGCGGATTCGCAAAGAGTTCGAATGAAACACACTTTTAATGAAAGTTGAGATCGGGGCGAACTCGCGAGGTGGAACTGAGGACGGAATTAATAGTCCGGTAAGCAAGATTCGATTTTGAACGTACAGATGATCTCACCAATGCCTGGAGGCTTAGGTTTGAAAGGTTTCGGCAGTGCCAACGCAATTGAATTGAATACTATGCATTTGAAGGTCAGTATTTCCGGCGAATGAAGTGAAGTAAATTCGGACTGATCATATAGCTCAATCCCAGTCGTTAAGGTCGAAGATTGCACATGGCGGCGGATCCTAGATGGAGTAATGTAGGTTAGTTCAAAATGCATCGAGTCGGAAATGAGATTCAATAGTACGCACAACCCGAGGGTGCGCGTGGTAACTGAATCTCCGAACCATGACTCAACGACGGAAGAAACTCACCTTCAGTCCGCGAGGTTGAATGCATACCCGAGATCGCTGAGGTGAACCAGTTGCTGCGCGGAATAATTAATTAATTAGTGAATGCAAATCACTGGCAGTCAACCTGGACACAGCACAACTTTGGATGGTGAGATCGGCGAAGTGGGACTGAGGACGGATTCCGGTAAGTAAGATGAACGAGATGCAATTTGTAAGGGCTTACTTTCCAACCATTGAATATAGATCGCGCGGCGAGAAACAAGATACGACGGAATCTCTTGAATAAATGAAGGCGAGGTGAGGTCAGGACATGATTTTGAATCTACAGCTGAGCTCACCAATGCCATTAGCCCGATGCTTTGAAAGGCTTCCGCGCGAATGTAATTGAATAAGTACTGTGCATTTGAAGGTCGTAACATGTCACGATGAGCCCCGGATCGCGCAGCATCACACACGGATCACACGCGGCAGCAGGGCCGCTTGGCATTTACACCGGCAATCACGAAATTTCGGGCGGCCGAGCCGCAAATCGAAACTCAAAGTGTTGAGTTAACAATAGTTGGGCGTGAAATCCAAGCTGATTCTCTAAGTTTCGTAAAAGAATTCATGCGCGCTGAAAGCCAAAGAAAAATCTTTGTATTCAACTTAACTGAAACGTTAATGGTACTCAAAGTTTCAGTTTACAAAAAAGGGGAGCTGAAATCATGTTGCGAAACTAGAGGTATCGACATACAAAAAGCTGGAGCTGAAACTAATATAAAATTTAGTGTCTCAGGTGTGCTTTCAGCAGCGCTGAAAGCAAAGTCGAAACTTTGCATTTCGAACGAGGTGAAATTAAACCAGATTCGATTTCACCTGGTTCAAAATGCAAAGTTTCGGGAGGTGAAAGCACACCTGAAATGCTAGAATCCGTATTGGTTCCAGCTACATTGTTTTGCATGTTGATGCTTACACTGGGGGCAACGACCCACGCACATGAAAATCATGTGCAATAAACGCACTTGCGTCGCAGATGTGCCACACGTGCGGTGCACAAAGAAAAAGACAAGGTGCTTTGTCTGATTTTCTTTGTGCACCGCATCTCCCGTGCATGTGCGATGGATGTGCGTTTATCGCACATGGTTCCATGTGCGTGGATTCTTGCCCCCAGGGTTATGGTTTCGCAACACAATTTCAGCTTGCACTATTTGTGAACTGAAACTTTGAGTACCATTAAAGTTTCACTGAAGTTGAATACAAGACTTTTCTTTGGCTTTCGGTGCGCACAATTCTTTTACAAAACTCAGAGAATTGAAAGGCTGTCGTTCTCTCGACAGACACTAACGGGCGAACCGGGACAGAGACACACACGTTGACAGGACCACAATATATTCCTAGCGGCGAGACTCCAGGCTACGAGCAACAGGAGGAATACAAAGGGGGCCAAAGTCGGGGGTTCCCGTGCGGTACAGAAGGTAAGGTAAATGGTGGCTATATATACAAAAGAGGATGTGGCTGAGTAAGTGACATGTGAAGAACCAGGTTACTGGTAAGATGCACGTGTGAGGATGGCATCCTTACAAGAATCAACTTAGATTTCAGGCCCAACTATTGTCAATTCAACACTTTGAATTTCGACTTGCGGCTCGGCTCATCCGAAATTTCGTGATTGCCGGTGTGATTCACGCAAAACTCGATCGACAATTCAAAGCCCGAGGAGACTAGGAACCGATCGTAGTCTCCTCTCTGACAGGAACTGTCTGATTAACGACGAATTAACCAGGCCCCCGGTCACTCGCCCATAACTAGGTCCGCCATAAAGGCCCAAAATTTCACTTTTTGGGTAGGTAAATCAACCTGAAATCCAGGAAACTCGGTCCGTTGTAAGGTGAATCGCGCTCGGCGCGAGAGATTTTTTTTGACAAGGATACTCGGCGGGAGGGAGTAAATTGCAATCTTTTGATCACTTTCTTTGGAGTTTGGCTGCAAACATGTTGAAACCAGTCAACCACAACAAGGCGGCTTGAATATGTGCCAAACTCACCTCCTGGGCAAAATAATTGGTTTGTTGGCCAATTTAAGTGTCCAAACTCGGTCCGCTGTAAGGTAAATCAAGGCCCAAACGGCCCAAAATCATAAGGTAAATGAACGGAAATTTTAGGCTTTTGGCGGACCTAGTTACTAGTTATGGGCGAGTGACCGGGGGCCTATCAGCCCCATTCGAACGCCGGGAATCGAACCCGGACTTCCTGCCCAACATAGTGGAGGACTGATTGCTGATTGTCTGCAGGCATGCACCTCACACTACGTTCGATTTCTGAACGTAGTGCTGGTCTGCTAGGTGAGCGAGTAAATGACTTCGGGAAACTGTCAAGAACGAAAGTCGGACCTACGCCGATTCAGCATTGGGCCAACCTGGAACACTGGATTGAATCTCGACTTCTGCGCCGGAAGGTACCAGAGAACAAGGGGCAACGTAGAATTAAGCATAAGCCGTCGTATGAGATTATCAACGAGAAGAAAAAGGACACAACTTCACTTATTTATTCGAACGCCGGGAGTCGAACCCGGGCTTCCTGCCTTAGTTGAGCGAGCGAGATTTAAGATGCAGGCGTGCACCGCGCGCCACGTTCGACTTTCCCACCGTGGTGTTTGCAAGGTAGGTGAGTGAGTAAATGGCTTGGGAAACCGTCAAGAATAAAAATGCGATCAGAGATCATTATTCGGGCGCTGGGAGTCGAACCCAGAGAGTTGTTGCCTGCTTCAGTATGCCCGAAGTTAATTGTCGCAGTATTGACCGCAGGTGTGCACCGCGCACTACGTCCGATTTGTTGCTTGGTTGAATGCACCTATGCGTAGGCGCTTGACGGCAATTGACCTGGGTTGAAAGTTGAATTTCTGATTTCCGGTCCACCTGCCTTGAAAGACTGACCTCAGGGGGGTACTTTGAAACAAGGCACCGGATGGAACCGTGGAAGACCTGAGTTATCAACGAGTAGGAAAAATAAATATGGGGAATTCGAACGCCGGGAGTCGAACCCGGACTTCCTGCCTTAGTTGAGCAAGCGAGATTCCAAATTATTTTCTGCAGACGTGCACCGTGCACTACGTTCGAGTTACTTGCTCCAATACATACTTGGCTGAGTGGTGCTAATTTTCAGGCCAAAGTGAATTCACCGGCACGGGAGGGTGACGGTGGGAGATAACCAGCACTTTCTTCGGCCTACAGGCTGGCCGCAGGAGTCCCCGTGGGTTGTGTTGGCCAGGTGTGAGCTTTGCGGTAAGTAATACAATCACACGGTGAACTCACCGAGGGAAGGTGAACGGTCGTCAACGAGGTCGGAACCCGCGAGAATACCTATCTGTGGGAAATGAGAGCACTGGTAAACCCGATGTGAAAATGGTCTGTACAAGATTTAAACTCAACGCCGGCAACCAAAGAGCAAAAAAAAAAAAACTGGGGTATACCCATGCATTCGAACACCGGGAGTCGAACCCGGACTTCCTGCTGAAGTCGGACGCGACGAAAGAGATAAATCTCCGCAGGCGTGCACCCTGCACCACGTTCGAGTTACTCACCCTGATATACGCTTGGGTGAGTGGCGCTAGTGAATTTTGAGGCCAAAGTAAATTCACCAGTGCCCAGAGACAGTACTTTCTTCGGCCTACAGGTGGGCGGCAGGGTTGTTAAGATATGAAGGAGGCGCAGCAGCATTGAATTGAGGCCGAAGTGAATTCACCGGCGGGGAGAAAGTCTTTTCCTCGGCCTACAGGTGGGCGGCAGGGTTGTTAAGATATATGAAGGCGCAGCATTAAATTCAGCATAAGGGATCATCAGCGAGTAGGAAAAATGAAAGCGTCCTTCATCGACGAATTCGAACGCCGGGAGTCGAACCCGGACTTCCTGCTGAAGAGGGATGTCAAATTACATTATTTTCTGCAGATGTGCGCCGCGCACGACGTTTAATTCCCTCAGTGTGGTGTTGTCCGTACTAGGTTGGTGAGTGAATAAATGGCTTGGAAAAACTCACCTGGAATTTTCATTTGGGCGCTGGGGTCGGACCCACATTAAGCGGCTACAGTAGAGTGGAAATAATTCTCGCTGAAGTGAAGGAATAGGGTGTTTCACACATCGCTATTCGGGGCCCAACTTGGGTCCCAACTCGATGTCCAAAATGACGAAGTTGGGACCCTCAAGTTGGGCCGATTTCGAAGTTGGATGTCAGATCGTGGTCAACCCCACGATCTGACATCCAACTTCAAGATCGCAACTTGACAAGTTGCGACTTCCTCGCGGGGCTGATGGCATCTTGATGGCATCTTTGGTGGACAAGTGCCGAAATTGGCAACTTCGGAGTTGGACGACCAAAAGGGTGTTCAAACATCTCGGCCCAACTTCGAGTCCAACTTGGTCAAGTTGCGGTCAAAGTTGGGAGTCAAGTTGGGCCCGAGTTGGGCCCCAAATAGTCATGTGTGAAACACCCTAATGTACCGATGGTAACGGATAGATGGTAAGCGGCGCGCGGGCAAATCCACCTCGACTTGCAGTTGATCTGAAGTATGGATCCCAGGATTGGCAGGTCAGAAATTCCACAATGCATTGGTCTATAGTGAGCATTCACCTCAGTTGAAGACATCCAGATGGTGGTGTTGGGCAGGAAAAACAAGTAGTCGACGATTATTCGGACGCTGGGAGTCGAACTCAGAGAGATGTTACCGGTTTCAGTACGCCAATTCCGCTCAAATATTGAGCGCAGGTGTGCACCGCGCACTATGTCCGATTCATTACTTGGTTGGATGCACCTGTGTCTGGGTAACTTGCAACTGGTGTGAGTTACCAGCGGGAAAAACTGAACCAGGTCTTCAACGGCGTTCGTTGCATAAGACAGTGAATACATCGGCTAGAATGCGCTTCAGCGACGTGTGTTGACAGGACTCATGAGTACTCACTGATACTCCCCAGCTCGGAAGGATGGATAAAAAGTGTGGCGACGATCACACCTATCCGAACGCCGGGAGTCGAACCCGAGGTCATGCCCGAACCTTCAATTCTAGCAGCAGTGCGCCGCGTACTACTGCGGTGTTGGCCTGTTTAAGTGAGTGAATAAATAGCCTACCATGGAATTCGACTGACCTTGAGTCGGTCGAGCTTGTTCAGGCCCACCGGGAGGAATTACAACTGTGGAGCCTATGAAAAGCCCGATGAGGATTTCGCCAAAGAGAGACCTGCCAGTGCTTGATGACCTAGAAGCTGAGAAAAAGGAAAGACTCTGGAAGTGCGTCAATTCGAACGCCGGGAGTCGAACCCGGACTTCCTGCCGAACATAGAGATGACTCAATGTCTGCAGGCGTGCACCGCACACCACGTTCGATTTCTCCACTGCGGTGTTGCCCGTACTAGGTAGGCGAGTAAATGGCTTGGGAAACCGTCAAAAATAAAAGAGCGATCACAAATGGACCCTTATTCGGGCGCTGGGAGTCGAACCCAGAGAGTTGTTGCCTGCCTTTAATTTTGGTAGAGAAAACGCAGAAATTAGCCGCAGGTGTGCACCCTGCACTACGTCCGATTCATTGCTTGGTTGAATGCTAGGTGAGTAGATGACTTGGGAAACCGTCAAGACGTCCCTCAGTCTATGGAGAACACCCACCGTAGTTGAAGACGTCCCAGATGGTGTTGTGGAAAAAAGGAGGTGTCCTGAGTTTTTATTCGAACCCAGAGAGTTGTTGCCTGCTTCAGTATGCCGGAAATGCCGCTCTATTGGCCACAGGTGTGCCCCGCGCACTACGTCCGATTCGTTGCTTGGTTAAATGGATCTATGCGTGGAGAACTTGTTGTAACTGGTTACTGGTGCATCGGGCGCATAAGACAGTGAGTGAACACATTGGCTAGATTGCGCTTCAGCGACGTGTGTTGACAGGACTCATGAGTACTCTCTGATACTCAGCAGCGCGGAAGGATGGATAAAAAAGCGTCGCGACGATCACAACCATCCGAACGCCGGGAGTCGAACCCGAGGTCGTACCCGAAACCTTCAATTTTAACAGCAGCGTGCCGCGCACACGTTCGACTTTCTCCACTGTGGGTTTTGGCCTGTTTAGGTGAGTGAGTATTGATTAAATATTGTTGCGTGCGGTTAACGTAACCTTGAATGCATCAGCTTCGGTTGAAAGAAAGTTGAACTTCAGGTTCGCCTGCGGCCTGCTTTGAAAGGCTGGCCTCAGCGGGGTACCTCGAAAGAAGGCACAGGATTCAGCCGTGGAGGCTCTGAGGCTAGTATATATTATCACAGAAAAAGAAAAGATCGCGTCTTATTTAATCGAACGGTGGGAGTCGAACCCGGACTTCCTGCCTTAGTTGAGCAAGCGAGAGTCATATTATTTTGCCCAGGGGTGCGCCGCGCACCACTCGAGTGATTTTGTCCGGTGTTTGTCCTGCCAGTTGTGCAAGTATTAGAGTGTGCGCTGATTGAGAAGCCAACCTGGAATACGAGGAAACGATCTTAAGTTGAATCTTGAGTTCTGCGCCGGAGGGTATGGAAGGCGCGCAGCCGTATGAAATTATCATAGAGGAAGAAAAGTAAAAGGGTGTGCGGCAGATTTATTCGAACGCCGGGAGTCGAACCCGGACTTTCTGCCGAAGAGGGATCATAAACTCGTATTTTCTGCAGGAGTGCGCCTCGCACCACGGTCGATTCCTTCAGTGTGGTGTTTCCCGTACTAGGTTGGTGAGTGAATAAATGGCTTGGAAAAACTCACCTGGAATTTTCATTTGGGTGCTGGGGTCGGACCCACATTAAGCGGCTACAGTAGAGTGGAAATAATTCTCGCTGAAGTGAAGGAATGTACCGGACGCTCGGATAGATGGTAAGCGGCGCGCGGGCAAATCCTCCTCGATTTGCAGTTGATCTGAAGTATACATCCCAGGATTGGCAAGTTAGAAACTCTTCGATGTATAGTGCACACTCACCTCAGGTGAACCTGCCCTAGATGGTGGTGTGACAGGGAAAAAGAATGTTAGCTGGTTCGTCATTCGGACGCTGGGAGTCGAACCCAGAGTTGTTGCCTGTACTCACAGGAGTCAAGAGTGCAGATTCAATTGCCGCAGGCGTGCACCGTGCACCACGTTCGATTTCCTTGCTGTGGTGTTGCCCGTACTAGGTACACGCGTACTCAAACGCCTGGGAAACTGTCAAGAACAATTGTACAAAAAGGCGATCTCACCTGGAATTTATGTTTTCGAACCTAGCGGCCTGCGTTAAGGACTCACCAGTACTCAACTGATGCGCAATTTGGATCAGCAGCGCGGATGGATGGATACAAAGTCTCACGACGATGACGCGTATCCGAACGCCGGGAGTCGAACCCGAGGTCGTGGCCGAAACCTTCAATTTTAGCAGCAGTGCGCCGGTCACCACGTTCGAGTGGTTTTGTCTGCTAGTTATTCAAGGATTAAACACATATTGTGGTGTGCGCTGATTCAGAAGCTGAGAAGCCAACCTGGAGCACGAGGATACGATCTTGGGTTGGAATTTGAGCTCTACGCCGGAGGGTACCTGGAAAAGAAGGTGCAGCATTGAATGGAGTGGGCATATGAGCTTGTTACAGAGGAAGAAAAATATAAGTAGGGTATTATTC